TATTAATCTAAGCTTGATTTCATCATTTAATTTAAGATTTGGGGTGAAAATTGGAAAAAATGAGAAAAGTTCTTAGGCCGAATTTTGGGATTTTGATCGAGATTTTGGTATCGGATTTGAGTGAATTTGGTATCGTTGGACTCGCGAATGAATGGGTGTTCATAATTTTTAACTTTTACCCGATTTCGAGACGTGGGCCCGGGGAGAATTTTTGGGCGTTTTCCTATTTTCTTGCCTTAGCTTTGAATTCATTAGCTAAATTAGTTGCTTGTAGCTATATTTACATTATGTAACTGATTTGATTAAATTTGGGCCACTCGGAGTTGGACACTCGTGGAAAGAGCGTGATTTCGGATTGATTTGAGCTTGGTTCAAGGTAAGTGGCTTGCCTAACCTTGTGTGGGAGAACTCCCCTTAGGATTTGGTACTGTCGATATATGAATGCCGTGTATGTGAGGTCACGAGTGCATACACGAGCTATTTGTTGAAAAACCCCATTTTCATTAAGTAAATATCTATGTTTTCCTTTAATTGAGCAATAATAGTATATGCAACCATTCTGTTTAGCTTAGGAAAGCATGCTTGCGTGCCTTAACTATCTTAACTGCCTTAACTACCTACCTGGACTCTGTGCAGCATGTTTAGATTAAGAATTACCTGTATTCTTTGATATGAATTTAATCTAAGCTGTAGAATTTCTTGCTGAAACTATTATTTATATTGATTGAGCTGTATGTTTACTTTGGGACTACGAAACGGTATTCCGGGAGATCCCCTTGCACATTTATGTTTGGGACTATGGGACGCTATCCTGGGAGATCCCCTGTACTGGATATATTTACTTTGGGACTACGGAACGGTATTCCAGGAGATCCCCCAGCACATTTATGTTTGGAACTACGGGACGGTATCCCTGGAGATCCCCTGTATATTTATGTTTGGGACTACGGAGTATCCCGGGTGATCCCCTATTGCTATCTCTGTGTACTGAGTTGTTGTTTTTCTGTGATATTATTTTTGCTGACTGTTAGTATTTATCTACACTATGATATTTCATACTGTTTTATCTTATTATACATATATACCAGTAGGGCCCTGGCCTGATCTCGTCACTAATCGACCGAGGTAGGCTTGGCACTTACTGGGTACCGTTGTGGTGTACTCATGCTCTTTCTTGCACATGTTTTTCGTGTGCAGATCTAGGTTCATCGCACCGGCCTCATCACTAGTTGTAGTCGTTGCTTCATGTTGGAGACTTCAAGGTACATCTACCCGCGCCCGCAGATCCTCGGAGTCCCCCTCTATCCCCTTATGTTCATTTCTCTTTCTTCCTGTAGAGATGATGTATAGAACAGTTAGAACATCTTAGTATCTTGTGACTTGCAAGTTTCCGGGTTTTGGGTATTGTTCAGTACTTTTTCTGAAGTGATCATTGTATATGCCGAGTGGCAGTTAGTTGGTTAATGGATAGTTATGTTGCCAATAGTTAATATGCATGCTTTTGTTTTGATTTCTACAATGTGTTAGGCTTACCTAGTCGTAGAGACTAGGTGCCGTCACGACAGTTCACGGAGGGAGGAATTGGGTCGTGACATAAACAAATTGGAGTTGGATGGTTGTACAAGTCCAACTACAAAGTAACTGGAGAAGTAGATGATTTCAAAGTAAAGAAAAATCATATTGATGATATTTTGTAAGGATTTACCATGAGTAAAGACAAATCATATATGAGCAATATTCAAGATAAATTGAAGTTGACTAAAGATGGCACTCATGATTTTATTGATGCTACATATTTTAGGAAATTGGTGAAGAGCCTAAGGTACTTGACTTCTACAAGGCTTGATGTTACTCATGGCATGCTCAAGTTTGAAGATCTTGTTTTAAGGGTGGTTATTTGAAATTAAACCAAGATTAATTAGTATTCCTAAGTTGTATAGGATTTGATATTTAGTAGTTTATTTAATTCATATCTAGCTAGATTTTGTTTACCAATTTTATATTGGAATAGGTTTTGTTAGTCTAGTCAATTATGGTTTTGTAGTATTATAAATAGGGGTGTTATTATATATTTTCTATTGTAGAGAGGTAGTTACGACGTAGAGAGATTCAAGAGTTTATGAGTTGTGAAAAAGCTTCCTACCAAGTTCTCTCTAGTTTATAAATTTCTTCTATATAGTTTTTGTTGAATTTTTTGCTTGTGCCTAAATTCCTTTTCGATTTTTTCAATCGTTCAGGAAAAGTTCCACCTTTATGAGAAATATATATATATATATATATATATATATATATATATATATATATATATATATATAATAGCTAAGAACCGCAGATAATTTCAGTACTTTTGTCGGGAGCTCAGAACATAAGTGAATGATTGAGTAGATTCTACCAATTTGTGAATGGGGATACTTTTCTTACGTATTTGGACATTTGATTTTCTTTGTTTATTTTCAGTTATGTGATGCTAGTCCCATGATAGAATCATTGTTCCTTGTAATTTTTACAAGTTAATATATGTTCTTATTTGCTTCCCATGATATAATAGCTTAAATTTTGATGGTATAATTTGCTTTCAAGAAGTAAGAAGTAAGAAGTAAATTTTCTGAAAATTCTAACCACAAGATTTCCTGAGTTATGCAGTGGGTTTGGTTTCTAGCGATTAACTAAGTATTATAGTAAATTCTTCTTATTTTCAAGTTGTGTGCTTTTGATAAACAGTGCACTTGATAGTTTGCTTCTAGCATAAAACCTCAAGAAATTATTGTTCTTTTGGTTTTGTAGCACTTAATGGCATATCTAGCCGGTGCTGTTAGAATCGATCAGTTCATCTTCTAAAGAGGATCTGAAGCAAGAGGTTATCCTTCGAACAAATACACTCAAAGTGATCCACTGATCCTAATGCAGTAGATTGTTTGAATCTCAAGTTTGAGAAGTTGGATTAATATCTTGTAAGATTGTCGCTAAAATTAATTTTAGTTGCAATTTGATTATATAGTAATAAATTCATGTATGTTTGGTAATTTTATTTTATGTGACTTGTGCGCTTCATATCTCACTTTTCGCTTCAGCCCCCATGGATAACATCACTTTTTGCAGCTTTTGCTTTTAAAAATATTGTTTCTAGCAACCCCCTCATTAAGCTGAGTCGGAATTGTAACTAATCTCATTTCAGAAAAGGAACAACTACAAGAATATTGTGTGTGATAATCAACTAAAAAGCAAAGTTAGAGTGTCCATGCTCTGATACTACTACATGAGATACACTAGGAATATCTCATTAGATTACAATATGATAAGATTTTATGTGACTCAGTAACCATCAACTACTTCAAGTCTTGTAAGATATATAATAAGACCTATTCTGGTAGAGTTTGATAGCTTGAGAAACAATCAGCAACTTCGTGGCGAAATCTTCATTAGTGCCATTAAAAACTGTCTTTTCTGCTGTTGTAATAACTTACCAAAAGCAATTTGAAATTTGTTATCTGATTATATCTTCTTTGATAAGTCTATCCCTGACTGATGCCTGATTGATAGTTATTGTGAGCACCTAATTTTTGTCCTAATGCAAATTACTCCTAAAAATATTCCAAAGTAGTTTCATAATTATTACATAGAATTGTAGGAATTTTTTTTTACTTTTATCCAATTTGTTTTGCATTGTTCATGCATATTTTTTAGGTGTTTTAAACCATAAAAAATCATAAAAATATTTAATTTTTCATCTCATAACATTTTAGACCTTAATTAAATTTAAGATTTAATTACATTAATTAGATGTATTATCAAACAAAAATCACAAAAAAAATACAAGTCATTTTTACATTTTTAGCTTTTAGTTTTAAATTAGTAATTTTCTTTCATTAGTTTTAAGTTAATCAGTTATTTAAATGTTAGAAATAGATGTTAGATTTAATCCCATAAATTAGATTTGATTTAGAAATTAATTTAGGTGCTTAATTAAAAGGGGAAAGAAAAATAAAGTAAAGAAATAAATAGTTTGTTTGGTCTTAGTTAAAATTGGGTCAGAAGCCAAATCTAATTGGCCAAATTGCCATTCGCCCCAAAACCGATCTAATAGCCTCTCTTCCCAGACCACTAAATGACGTAGTTTCATATGAAAATTACGTCGTTTCATCTCCTTGACTTAAGTCCCCCATCTTCTCTAAGAACAACGAGCAGACCCCCCTCTAAAAGAACAAAAACCCTAGCCACCTCCCTTCTCTTTTTTTTCTTCTTCTTCTTCTTCTTCTTCTCTCTCGAGCAATGTTTTAAAAGGCGGGAGCGTGAGGCGAGGCGTTTTACCTCTGATAAGGCGAGGTGCAAGCCCTGAGACATGGGGCGTAAGTCCCACGGATCTTAAATTTTACTAATTTCAAAACTTTTAAAATCGTATAAAATAAAAAATAATTATAAAAAATACATTAAAATTACAGAATTATAACAAATAATCTATTTAAAATTCTGTTCAATAATCCAATTCTGTACATTAAAATACTTTTAATGAGGAAGATTGGAGGTGATTTGGACTGGTTTCGTATTAAAATTCGTAATTAAATCGAGTTCAAAAAAGTCTTCTGCGACACATGTATCAAACATGTATCACACATGTATCTCACACATAGGTATACATGGATATACATGTGATACACAATAGATACAAATATGATACATATGTGATACACAAATGATACACAGTGTGATACACATCATTTTTTTTTTCATGTTCAGCTTTTACTTCGAATTTTCAATTTAAACCACCTCAAAACTTCACCAAATCATCCCAAAACTGAGATTCAAGCTCCTTAAGTTGTGCCCAATCTATTCTAATAACACCCACTCAAAACAAAGCAAAAATTTGATATTTTTTTGCTATAAATAGCTAATTGGCTAATTTGACTAATATTAGTAATATTTTATCAATTGGCCAATTTTTATAATGAGCTACCTATAAATGGACATAGCTCCACTAATTTCCCCTTTTAAAATAAAACTCTCGAGCAGCCACCCAATTCGGCCTTTTAAAATAGAGCTCTCGCTTAAGCCATCTATGTAGCAACTGAAAATACCAAAAACCAGATTCTAAAATAATCAAAAGCTAAAAAAGGGAAAGATAAACTGGAATTTTCAATGGAGATTTGAAGAAGAACTGATTTCAGAGCACGATTTCCTTTCTTTCTTGGTTTCTGAAAGCGGTTTCGGAGCCGTGGATTTGCCGTTCGATTTCCGCTGATTTTGCTGTTTTTCTGGAATTGCTGAGCTCCGTTCGAGTTTGTTTCTGCCTTCATTTGGCTTATTCTAGCTTTTCTCTGTTCGATCGGGTAAGTTTTGGAAACTTCTTCGTCTTATGCTTTAGTCAAATGATCAAAAATTGTGGGATTCCTTTTAGGTTCTTGTAGATTTGCTCGAGTTCTGATCTCTGTTATTCTAGTATGTAAGGGATGTGTATTTCGTCAAAATTGGTTGAAACAGTTGAAATAAATTGAAATACGATACCTATTTGAATTAGTTTGATCCCAGTTTTCAGCTATGAATACTGTGTTGGGTAATCTAATCATGTTAGGTTTAATTGAGAATTGGTTAAATTCCTGTTTAATTTCTTGCAGATTTGCCAAACTTTTCTCTTCTGCGATTTTGATGTCTAGTAAAGTTTCCATTAAAACACATGTTGGTTTCTGAACTTAGCTGGGTATAGTATTAATCATTGAACAATAAACATCTTGATAAATGGATTAAATCTGTGCGAGAAAGTTTAGGGATAATTATAATTTTAGGGATATCATTTGCACAACTTGGATTGATGTATAAATTCTTCCGTCATTAACTTGTAACTAGATATGCACTTGGATGATTTTGGCAATATCATTGTGATTATGTGTGAAGTTCTACAGAGGTTATGTTTGCACTCAATATTGAGGCTGCCAATTTCAGGGTCTGTTTGTGACTAAAGACCATTAAGAATTTGATTAGCAGTAATTGGATTTAAAAGTAGACTTTCTACCCTTAATTGATATCAACAACCCCTTTTCAACCATGCTCATGCGACTTCAAACCCGTACAGATTTAGCTATTCCCAACATTACAAGATATGTGATATGGGACTGTGATTACTCTTTCCTTAAGTGTCGGACCAACAGAATCGTTTTCCTCAAGCCTATAATCCCTTTTGTAATCTTAGCCCTTTTTTTGTAAATAATTTCAATGTAAGGAAAAACAAATTATGAACATGCGCTAGTTGCCTTAGGCGCGGTTAATAAATAAATCATCGTGACTATGGGTACGGTTCCCGTGGCATAGTCGCGATATGTAAATCCCCAATTCGAGTGTGGGTTTCACGTCACTCGACCACAACTTCAAATAATAATAATAATAAACATGTTGTAAATCGCGGGTGCGTTTCACGTGGCGTGATTCGCAATATGCACAAAAACAAATGAGTGCGCGACATCGCGACTTGTGCAAATAAACTCCATAAATAATTAAAAGCGGTTTAAAAGGTTAAAAATGCACAATAGGTTTAAAACTTGTAATAAATCAGATAATTAGGCCAATTATTAATAGTTGAGCGGCCATGCTGAAACCACGGAACTCGGGAGTGCCTCACAACTTCTCCCGGGTTAACAGAATTCCTTACCCGGTCTTCTGTGTTCGCAAACTATAAAACAGAGTCAATTTCCTCGATCTGAGATTCTAAAATAAACCGGTGACTTGGGACACCATAAATTATTCCAAGTGGCGACTCTGAAATCAATAAATAATCGCATTTCGATTAATGTCACTTAAATTGGAAAAGCTCTCTATCCCCTCGGGAAAAAGAAATGGTGACAGTTATGGATGAAAATAACAGTAGCCCTGAATCCTTGGTACTCAATATATATAGGCAATCGTCTTAAAATCTAAATTCACCATTTTCTAGGAACTTAGGGAAGGATCCACAAGATGGATATAATATCACAGCTCCAGGAGCAAGTAAATACCATTGCAGCTCTTGCTTTCAACACCTTTGGTACCCTTCAGAGGGATGCCCCTCCTGTTCGTCTGTCACCTAATTATCCAGAACCTCCTCCTGCTAATCCTACAGAGGATGCAGCCAATGTTGCAGAGCAACCAAAGCAAATGAGTGCTGCTTTTGTTAAGGCTGCCAAGCAGGTAAACCTCCCTACCTTCGCATTTTCTTTCTATAACATCCTTATAGATCAAGTTGATCAACTAAGATGAGCAAGCCACATTATATGGACCATCTGCATGTACTTTGAAAGTATCCAGGATTCCTAGAATATTGAATTATTTTTTTCTGGTCAAATAATGTCTTTACGTCTTTGACTAGTCTATTTGTTTTTTAATACATCAAATCTTTATATTATCTTGTTTGTGGACCTTTATGCATATCATGGGGATATAAGATATTTATGTTTCATGGCTCTTCCTATCTAAGTTTAAGTCTTTGTTTGTTGAGTCTTGAGACCAGTGTGGTTGAGTTCAAAGACCTAAGTCTGTTATCATTTATTTTAACACTACATATACTAATGTTATTAACATCACAAACTACTCAAATTAAAACCCGACTTATTCGCTAATGGTGGCAAATTCGAACTACTAGTTGAACAGAATCTCATTACTCTAGGGACTTGAACTTGAGAACTTGCTCTCAGCCTCAGGAGTTAAACCATAACATCTAGGCTAAGTCTCATAGGGTAATCCATGGTTCTTCAAAACCCGAAAACTGAATTCTAGCTTGTGGCCCTTTAGCTGTCTTCAGTGAAATACATGGACACACTTGTCATTGTTTCTAAAGTTCAAGTTCACAGCTATATTTCTCTTGTCATCTTGTCCTCGCAATCAGAGGTGGTCTGATCTAGCATCCCGCCAAACTTAAGATGCACAGATGGCACTTGAGAATAGCCCTGAAGATTGCATGGCTCTTAATTTCGACCTATTGCAATGTGTTCCTAAAGTGTAGCTCTGCTACAATGTTGTCGTATTCTTGAAACATTCTTCTTCTGTTCGTTTACTGGACAGTTTGATGCATTGGTTGCTGCTCTTCCTTTATCAGATGGGGGTGAAGAAGCCCAATTGAAAAGAATTGCAGAACTCCAGGTATAAGCTTCTCTGTAAATAATTTTTTGACATATGACACTTGAGCAAGATGATGCTCCATCTTACTCTAATTCCAATGCCATATACTTACTGAGAAACAGAACCTCTATGTAGTTAAATTAAAAAATGAAAAGAATAAATGAAGATAAATCTGTTATTATGTTTTTGGGCTAAGTGTTTTGTCTGCATTTTACCCAATAACTCTTACTCTCTGTATGTGATGTAGGCTGAGAACGATGCAGTTGGCCAAGAACTTCAAAAGCAACTGGAAGCTGCAGGTAAGGATTTCCTAGCGTATCTGACGTAACTTTGGTTTTGGGATAGGCATTTTTACACAATACATGGCTATGCACATACTGACCGAGATGGTTATAACTGATTGAGCATTACTTCCATCTAATCAGTCTTCCACAAAACTTATATCCTTTACTTAACTGCAGAATTTGTGGTGGAGGAAAGTTAGCATTCATGTATTTGTTTTCCTTCTGAGAGAGTGGTCAAAGTTGTTCTAGTTAGGCTAAGCACCAAACGTCTATGTTTTTTATTATTTTTTGTTTATTCTGAAACTCAGTTTGATTTTGTTGATGCAGAAAAGGAGCTAAAGCAGGTTCAGGAGTTGTTTAACCAAGCAACGGATAACTGCCTGAACCTTAAGAAGCCAGAATGAATTAAGCTACTAGTACATATTTCAGTTTTGATGGAACTAATTAGACAGTATTTGCTTAAGGAGCCCCTCTTCCTGGAATATGCTTTGGAGGAACAACAAATCGCCTGCGTCAGGCTTCTTATGGGTGCATTTACTAACTGGTCATATATAAACTGGCTGTGTTCTGGTATTTCCGTTTGAAGTTCTTGGCCCGCTGCTGCAGAAAAAAATTCAGTATTCCATGTGAATCTGATGCAGATCTTCGTTTATTCTAAATGGAAAGACGTAGGAATGATGTGTTTTGAAAGCAAATTCAGCAGTCATTTGTCTCCTCACATGAACTTCCTATTCCTTCTATCCAACCATAACATTAGCATCTTCTATGAGATGAGCACTATTTGGAAAGTTGGTTTATATGGTACTCTGCTCCAACAGTTTTATGTTGTCAAAACTTTGCAATTAAATGTGTATTTTCTTAAACATGCAATCCAAAACAAGGGAAGGTCTATTGTTTTGATTTGTTTACATTTTTTGTAGAGGTTATCTAACTACACACTAATAATACGTGCCTGGATACTTCCAACTGTAAAATGCCATCGTCCTCGATATTGCCAAATTGAGTGGCCAAGCAATAGCTAAACTTGCTCGTTTATTATAGGAATTTTTACCTCCTATAGCAAAGGTTAACACCTTATTTATTTTAAATAAATACCATTTAAAAAAATTATATTCTATAGAAACCTTTTAATGTTTATAGCAAAATATCTAATTTTGGTTACCTCCTTCCCCTAAGCCACTAAATACGTTATTCAGTTACACTATTTTCTTTCTCTCTCTACTTTGATACATGTCATTCTCTTCCCCCATTCCCTGAAAACACGATGCTCAATCTCAAAATTCCTCTCACCCACATCATCTATGTTCTCTCCGATCCCAATTTCTCCATTCCCATCGGACGTTGCTTTGGCTCTTCTTCGCCATTGTAGTTGATTCACTTTCATAATGCCTCCTCATTTAACGATTTTGAAGTTTACAATCGGACAAGATCTTGCCTTTTGCCAGATTGCTCTTGGTCTAGATTATGCTGCCAATCAAGGCCCAGCTTCAAGTGCGAAACCCAATTACCAATGAATTGGAATGACAGACGAATGCCTTGATCTTCATATTGACGAATAAACTGAAGTGAAGCCATGTCATTTAGAAAGTTATAATTCTTTGGAAATCATGAAGCTTGATAGTATATGATGTATGCTGTAAGTAAGAAGAGCAAAATTCAACGAATGTCTTTTTACATCTCTTTAACAGAGTCCTTATTCTGCCACCATTGCTCGACGTCGGATTCGCCGGAAATTAGGGTTTGTTCTTGAACAAAGACGACGGAGTTCGGGGCTGAGCAACTTGAATTTTCTGTTAATATATTTCAATGTATCTCGCTGTATTTCCATGAATTTCATTGTATTCATTGTCTTTTTTTTCATTGTATTTCAAGGTATCTCGTTGTATTCCATGTATTTCATTGTATTCACTGTCTCGTTGTATTCCATGAATGTATTCATATATTTTTTTAATTAATATAATTTATGTATTCAGTTGTATTATATAATTTCTCTGAAAATTGCTATGTTTTTGGGATGTTTTTCGGTTGAGAAATTTTTTTATAAGTGGAAATACAAAATTAGGGTGTTATAATTAAGTTTGTTGAGTTATATTAGGAGTCTATTATGTTAATTGATTCACTTTCCTTTTAAAAATAGTGTAATCCTCTGTTTCACGTCGTGAATACAGTCGAATACACTCGAATACAATAATCTGTCCAGCTGTAATCCCATGTTTCACGCCATGAATACAGTCGAATACAACAACTGATTAGCTGGACTTCCCTGATTCACGCCTATTTTTGCTATTGTATTCATGAATACAGTAGCTTAAATACATCTAATACATCTTATAACAACAGAAAACGTATCTACAATCCGTAATATAGCAAATGGTATCTATAGATAGTTAATTACCACTAAAAGATAGTGCTTTATGAAAATTTCTCTTTATTATAACTGCTGCGACTTGGAGGCTTTCAAAAATATATTTTAATTGGTTAGTCGAAGTGAGATAAGAAAGTAACAGTCATACTCAATTTCAGAGCACCAAGTTTTGATCAGAAAGACCCACCCATATCTACCAGTTTTTCGTACTAACCCGCTTCAAACGTTAATCCGACCCGAACAAAAAGCTTAACTCAAAAATAGAGGCCTCATTTCTATCAAACTCCATGGAACAAAAGCTCCATGGAAGTTGCAGCGAACATATAGACGAAAATTTATTACGTGGTTTTCTTTTTCTTGTTATGGCATCCAGTTCAGTTTACATGATAGACACAAATTACATTATATTCAAGATGTGTTTAATTTAATCATTTTCACATAACGGAAAGATCTCAAAATGATTGTTTGGAAGATATCGTAAACCGTTGGACTACCCCTAGTTTTCCGTCCCACATTATTGTCAAGAAATCATTGACTCATTCATGCTAGGTTTTTCTTATTTGTTTAATTTGTTCATGAACCTTTATTTGATGATAATGTTATACATGAGATTAATCAAGAAAATAAACACATATAAATCCATGGGTTAGATGGAAGTGGGATGTCTTTTTTTTTTTATTTGAACTTTTTATTCGGGTTCAGTTAGTGTTTAGGGCGGGTTAGTCCGAAAAACGGGTAGATATGGGTGGATCTTTCTACTAGGTTAGACGTTTTAATATCGACCAATAAGAAGTAGCCACATGAAATTTAAATAATTATTTTTTAAATTCAGCATTGACCTAACTGTCAAGGTGGATGTCAAGGTGAATGGAGGGTATTTTTAAACCTTTTTCGGTATTTTTGACCCTCGTGGCAATTGGCATCAATCTAAAGTTTTTCCTACATTAATATATGACACTAACACAGAAGATATCTCTGCCATGGAGAGTAGCATAGCATCAGGGAATCCAAAAGACGACAGAAAACTTCAAGTCAGTTAGGATCTTAAAACGATGCCTTGTGAGCTTCTCATCTGAATACAACGGAGAACGAGTCGCCCAAAATGGATTATTATGTATGCAATTATTATCTCATTAACTTTCCCAGTTAGGCAAATTTGTCAAGGATAGCCACAGTTAGGCGAAGGGACAAAATGAAGACCAATATATGAGTAAACAAGTAGAAAAAATATTCTCAAGATGTATATTCACCACTAGGTGTCCTGCAGTTTCTGAATAATTTCCCGACTTTCCCAGCCTGCATGGCCTTATCTCATTAACTTTCCCAGCCTACATGGCATTATCTCATTACTTCCTATCTCATGCATTAAGATAATTATAATGCTTTACCATGTGACTGTTAAACAAGAGGTGATAAAAGGCAGAAAAGGGGTTAGTAGTTTCCATGTTCAAGCCACCTTTGTAGTAGGCACCAAGAGGAACCAAAGTGTTACAAAATTGGACTCAAAACAGCAAAATAGGTGAAAAAAGACTTGAGAATATTTTTATATATAGCGTATGAAATTCACGCGCTATACCTTAACGGCAAGTTTCTCCGTTAAGGTATAGCACATGTAATTCATGCTCTATGACTTAGTTTGAAAAGATGGTCAAAGACTTAGTATACCGCATCAAGTACATGCACTATACCTGAATGTGAAAAGACAGTCAGGTATAACGCATGTAATTCATGCGCTATACCATTAAAGTATACCAGTAATCTTCTTCCTCGACAGAACTTCCCAAAACGCCCCGTATAGTGCATGTAATTCATGCTCTATGACTTAGTTTGAAAAGGTGGTCAAAGACTTAGTATAGCGCATCAAATACATGCACTATACCTGAATGTGAAAAGACAGTCAGGTATAGCGCATGTAATTCATGCGCTATACCATTTAAGTAAACCAGTCATCTTCTTCCCCGACAGAACTTCCCAAAACGACCCCCATAGCGCATGTAATTCATGCTCTATGACTTAGTTTGAAAAGGTGGTCAAAGACTTAGTATAGCGCATCAAATATATGCACTATACTTGAATGTGAAAAGACAGACATGTATAGCGCATGTAATTCATGCGCTATACCATGTAAGTAAACCAGTCATCTTCTTCCCCGGCAGAACTTCCCAAAATCGCCCCCCCCCCCCCCCCATTTTTAAAAGAGAAAAATTCCATTGGAGCTCACACCTTCCCCGAAATCTTGTCCCGTTCATATTTTATCGATCTAACACCCGATCTAAGGTTGCCTCGTAGAGTGGAACTCGCTTATTGCCCGATTCGGTTGTCAAAGCGTCATATTTACTCCATTAAAAAAAATCAAAAAGATGTATTTCTAAGGACTTTTTTAGTATAAGTGATATATATTTGAGTAATTAGTTATTAGTACTATACTGTATGATTTTGTGCTTGTTTTGTGAATTTCTTTTATCCGAATTAGTTTAATGTTTAGCAAATTTGTATGAAAATTTTATTATTATACCTTTGTTATATAGTTGTTGAATAATTTGTGTTACATGTTTGACTATTTTTATAATTGTACAACAATAATATGTGACTTTTACTGTTATTTAGTGCCCTTTAGTGCAGTAGAACTGTAAATAAATTTTAATTTATGTTATTTATTTAGGGCAATAAGCGAGTTCCACTCCACGAGGCAGCCTTGGATCCGGTGTTAGAACGATAAAATATAAACGGGACAAGATTACGAGGAAGGTGTGGACTCCAATGAGTTTTTCTCTTTTAAAAATGGGGGGGGGGGGGAGGGGTAGGGGGGAAAGGTGGGAAGTTCTTTGGGGGAAGAAGAGGACTGGTTTAGTTAAATAGGTATAGCGCATGAATTGCATATTCATGCGCCATAGCGCATGTATTTGATGCGCTATACTAAGTTTTTGACCGCCTTTTCAAACTAAGGCATAGCGCATGAATTAAGGTATAGCGCATGAAATTCATACGTTATATATAAAAATGTTCTCAAGCCTTTTTTCACCTATTTTGGTATTTTGAGTCCAATTTTGCAATATTTTGATTCCGTACTCGGGGTGGAGGGGAAGGGGGCTCCAAGCAATCTCTATCCTATACTCATTTTTAGTAAAATCAAAACCAATTAAATTTAGAATCTAAAGGCACTATTCAAGTGCAATATTCTGAAATCCAATCATAAGACGATTCACGTCAGTCAAGAGATCATAGCGAAAGAATCCCTAAAACCAACCTCATTATCATCTTATTTAAACTCTCCATGAGATAAAGATTCAGAATATTAGTGGCAAATTTTATCAAAATAAACGTTCAAAAAGAAAAATACTACCCAAGTAACTGTACATACAGCTGTCAGCTAAAAATAACTATAACCCCTCTGTCCCATTCATGTGAAGAGGCTCGGAATATACAGGGTAAAAGGACCTAGTTTTAGCATGAATTTGGGCATCGATTCTTCAAGTTTTTTGAAACAAAATTTACAGATTCTTGAGCGATATAAAATTATTACAAGCCACAATGGTTGATAATTCAAGATAATTTTAAATAGTAAAAAATAGTAGTCAAAGAAAAAAGGGTTTGACTCCTTCAACTAGTAATAGTGTCACATAAAGAAAGCATGAGTACCAGATCTTGTACCAAACAGAAACATATGATGGCAGCATAAGATTATAATGGTGGTAGGAAAGTTCTCGCCCCTGTAAAGGGAATTTACAGAACAAGTTCATGAGGTAAATGAAGCAGACTATGAATAGATCCAGGACTAACGATATTTAACGACTTTTAAATGAACTGACTTACGCCAAACCACGTTCTAAATGGTATTCATTTAAGCTGAAACAAGCATCCAGGCCCTTAAATCATAGAGCCTCTCATTCATCCTGCTTGGAGACAAACGGAGTTTTATGAGATTTAATATTTCAACGGTAAGTTTTAAACAGCTAGAATGAAATGATGTGGATAGCTGGGTACTCATCAAGAATTCAAGAGCATAATAGAATGGAAGGAAACGTAATGACACCTGCATGGCCGAGCAAAACAAAAATAGACGTCAGCTCCGCCCAAAGTAAAGCAACAGCATCCTCGAACTATCAACACTTAACCATTGAAGGAATTTATGACAACTAAACAAAAGACAAAAGATCCAAAATCTACAAGCCAAGTGAAGCAAGCAATCAAGCTGCAAGCTGGATACATTTCGCTTAACTTCTGTAAAAGATTACCACATAAAGCAGCACAAGTACCAACTGTGTTGAGACATACCTTGAATCTGACCACCCATACCCTTCTTGTTAGCTGCAGGACCAATCTGCATTGGCCTGGTCGAGCAAAACTGCCCATTCGTCTCTGTCATAGCACGTAACTGCTCACTTTGATCCCCAAATTTAACAAAACCATTGTTGGACTTTAAAGGCATTGGGCTTCAAAGACTTTAAGCATTGGACTTTAAAGTCTAAGAGTGTGAATTGGAAATGGTGGGAAATAAAATGGAGGGAAATGAAAATTTGAATAAAGTGAGCTTTTGGCTTGCACTTTGTCCCTCATTGGTGAGGGACAACTACATTTGTGTGCTTATATATAGAATCACTTCTTAAAGCTCTTAAAATGAGTTGAAGAGAATGAACTCTCGCACCGTCGTCGCTCGGCTCGGCTTCGGCTTCGGCTTCGGCAAATGATCGATAAGATTATTTTTTTTTTGGACAAAATTTATTTAATTAATTATTTAATAATTAATTAAATAGCCAGATCACTGCTGAAGATTCAGAAGGATAGTCTGGCCGCGGTCCTGGCGTGACCGCGCCAAAACACTGATAAGATTATTTTTGGACAAAATTTATTTAATTAATTATTTAATAATTAATTAAATGCCAGATTCAGAAGGATAGTCGGGCCGCGGTCCTGGCGTAACCGCGGTAGGACCGCGCCAGAACACTGCTGCAGATTCAGAAGGCTAGTTTGGCCGCGGTCTTGGCGTAACCGCGGCAGAACGCGTAAACTTCTGAACAGACACCTTTTCCAGAACAAACATCACACCTCCTCCAATAATTGCCTATAAATTCTGAGGCATGGCTTCGTTTTTAAAACACCAAAAACATTACAGAACTTCCTTCTTTCTGAAAATACTGCATTCTAATTCGCAGTCTCTCTCTCTCAAATTCGTAAGTGTGATTTTGCTCCGTTCTTTGAGTTCGTTGGTATCCTGCAGTTTGTATTGCGACTGTTACAGGAAGGTTTATTCCGTTTCATCCTGGGAGGATTTAATCCATTACCTTGGCAACTTGTGAGGGGGTTAAAATTCCTTAAGGACACACAAGCAAATTGTGGACTCGGAATATTTCTTATTCTTTACTGTTTTCCAGTTTCTTTTATTCTTCTAACAGTTTTCTGATTTTGTGTTTTAACACAGTAGCGTTTTACAAGCTTAAGGAAATTCTTATCTAACGTTTCTGTGTTGAAATATATATTATAAACTGTTATCTATATTTTGTATACTGGTTTGGAGACTAAAGCCTTCGTGCTTTCTACTCCAATAATTGTTCTGTCCGGTTTAAAGTATATCAAAACTTTACCGGAATAATAAACGTACGGGTTTGAAGTATATAAAAACTTCACCATTGTTACGTGTTGTATGTTTGGTTTGGTATTCAGTTTGAAGATATTAAAACTTCACTGATTTAACAAAGTTCTGTTTTGTTTCCAACTTTACAGAAAAAATGACGAATGAAAACCAAACTAATGGAAATATTGCGGGAACGGGTGCTACTGTTACGAGTGTTGTTGCCTCGTCAAGCCGTTCAACTCCTGCTCATGCTATGGCACCAGCAGAAAAACCCGAAAAGTTTTCCGGAATCGACTTCAAACGTTGGCAAATGAAGATGCTCTTCTATCTTACTACGTTGAGTTTGCAGCGATTTATCAAGGAGGATCCTCCGGTCCTGGCTGAAGGCACTCCGAATGACGAACGATTTGTTGTAACTGAAGCATGGAAACATTCTAATTTCTTGTGCAAAAACTACATTTTGAGTTGTTTGGAAGATAGCTTGTACAATGTCTATAGTGTCATGGAAACTTCAAAAGCGTTATGGAATGCGCTTGAGAAGAAGTACAAGACTGAGGATGCCTGACTTAAGAAGTTCGTGGCTGCAAGGTTTTTGGATTTCAAGATGATTGACACTAGGTCGGTCATAACTCAAGTCCAAGAATTACAAGTCATTGTGCATGACCTCCTTGCTGAAGGTATGGTCATAAATGAGGCCTTTCAAGTCGCTGCTTTCATTGAGAAGTTACCTCCGTTGTGGAAGGACTTTAAGAACTATCTTAAACACAAGCGGAAGGAACTGACACTAGAAGACTTGATTGTTCATTTGAGGATAGAAGAAGACAACAAAAATGCTGAAAAGAAGTCACGTGGAAGCTCGACAATAATAAGGGCTAACATTGTTGAGGAGGCGCCACAAAATAAGAAGAGAAAGAAGGCTTCTGGACCAAAGAATTACCCAAGCAAGAAAAAGTTCAAGGGTAATTGCCACAACTATGGAAAATCTGGGCATAAGGCCGTGGATTGTCGTGCACCAAAGAATGATAAGAAGAAGAAGAATCAAGCTAACATGGTTGAAAATGCTGAAGAAATGGAGGACTTGTGTGCCATGTTGTCTGAATGCAACTTGGTAGGAAATCCTAAAGAATGGTGGATAGATTCTGGAGCCACCGGCCATGTTTGTGCTAACAAGGAGTTATTTTCTTCTTATGCCCCCGCAGGACCCGATGAGACAATTTTCATGGGGAATTCGTCTACAGCGAAAATTGAAGGAGTTGGCAAGATTGCATTGAAGATGACGTCGGGAAAAATAGTGACTCTAAACCAAGTTCTCCATGTTCCAGAAATTCGCAAGAATCTTGTGTCTATCTCACTTCTTGTCAATAATGGATTCAAATGTATTTTTGTTTCCAATAGTGTTGTACTAAGTAAGAATGATGTGTATGTAGGAAAAGGTTACCTGAATGAGGGCCTTTTTAAGCTAAATGTAATAGCAGTTCCTATCAATAAAGTTGATGCTTCTTCTTACTTACTTGAGTCAAACACTTTATGGCATTCACGCTTAGGTCACGTCAACTTCAAAACATTGCGAAAAATGATAAATTTAGAACTATTGCCAAAATTTGATTGCATTAATTCCAAATGTCAAATATGTGTGGAATCAAAGTATGCTAAGCATCCTTATAAGTCCGTTGAAAGGAATTCAAGTCCTTTAGACTTAATTCACAAAGATATTTGTGACATGAAGTCAACACCATCTCGTGGTGGGAAAAAGTATTTTATTACTTTTATTGACGATAGCACGAGATATTGCTATGTTTATTTACTTAATAGTAAAGATGAGGCAATTGATGCTTTCAAGCAATACAAGAGTGAAGTTGAAACACAACTAAACAAAAAGATCAAAATGATAAGAAGTGATAGGGGTGGCGAATATGAATCTCCTTTTGAAGAAGTGTGTTTGGAAAATGGAATTATTCACCAAACAACTGCCCTTACTCTCCACAATCTAATGGAATTGCTGAGAGAAAGAATCGAACGTTGAAAGAGATGATGAATGCGTTGTTGATAAGTTCTGGTTTACCACAGAACTTGTGGGAGGAAGCTATACTTACAGCTAACCGAATAATCAACCGTGTACCTCATAGTAAAACACAGTCCATTCCCTATGAAAAATGGAAAGGAAGGAAGCCCAGCTTGAAATACTTCAAAGTGTAGGGGTGTTTAGCTAAGGTACAAGTTCCTAAACCTAAGAGGGTTAAGATAGGTCCAAAAACGATTGATTGTGTATTTATTGGATATGTAACCAATAGCAAGGCATATCGTTTTCTGGTTCATAAGTCAGAAAATCCTGAGATTCACGTTAATACGATAATAGAATCAGATAATGCTGAATTCTTTGAAACTATTTATCCGTATAAAAAGGAAAGTGAAGTGACCTACCAAAAGTCAAAACGACCTCGGGAGGAAATAACAGATGGTATGCCTAATGAGGAAAATCCGAGAAGAAGTAAACGTCAACGGACATCTACTTCATTCGGTCCAGATTTTCTGACTTTCCTGCTAGAAAATGAGCCTTGTACCTTCAAGGAAGCAATGTCTTCCTCAGAAGCACAATATTGGAAAGAAGCTGTCAATAGTGAAATAGAATCCATATTGAGCAACCATACCTGGGAATTGGTTGATCTTCCTCCAGGTAACAAAACATTGGGTTCTAAATGGATTTTCAAGAAGAAAATGAAAGACGATGGTACTATTGACAAATACAAAGCAAGACTTGTTGTCAAAGGGTTTAGACAGCGAGAAGGTCTTGACTATTTTGACACATACTCGTCGGTAACAAGAATTACATCCATTCGGATGCTAATAGCGTTAGCCGCCTTGTATGGTCTTCAAATCCATCAAATGGATGTAAAAACAGCCTTCTTAAATGGTGATCTAGAGGAAGAAATTTACATGGACCAACCTGAAAGGTTTGTGGTTCTGGGAAAAGAAAAGAAGGTGTGTCGACTTGTTAAGTCCCTTTATGGACTAAAACAAGCACCCAAGCAATGGCATGCGAAATTTGACCAAACAATGTTGTCAAATGGCTTTAAGATTAAGAATGTGATAAATGTGTTTNGAAATTTGACCAAACAATGTTGTCAAATGGCTTTAAGATTAATGAATGTGATAAATGTGTTTACATTAAGAACGTTCCAAATCATATAGTCATTGTTTGCTTATATGTTGATGATATGCTAATAATGAGTAAAGACATTGCCGAAATTCAAGCTACTAAGCGTATGCTTGCTAGTAAGTTTGATATGAAAAACTTAGGAGTTGCCGATGTAATTCTAGGAATTAAAATCCAGAGGACTCCTTAGGGTCTAGCTTTGTCTCAATCACATTACGTGAAAATGGTACTTGAAAAATTCAAACACTTGGAATTTAGAAGTGGAAGAACTCCAATTGACTTAAATCATCATCTTATAAAGAATAAAGGTGAAAGTACGTCTCAATTGGAGTATGCTTGTGTGTTGGGAAGCTTAATGTACATCATGAACTGTACACGACCTGATATAGCGTGTGCAATAAGTAAACTTAGTCGATTCACAAGTAATCCAAACAAACATCACTGGGTGGCAATGAAACGAGTTCTGGGATATTTGGAATATACCCAAGACTACGCTTTGCACTACAATAAATATCCTGTGGTTATCGAAGGATATGGTGATGCAAATTGGATAACCGGCTCAACAGAAACAAAGTCCACAAGTGGATATGTTTTTACTGTTGGTGGAGGAGCAGTATCTTGGAAGTCTTCCGAACAAACGATCTCGCTCTACAATTCAGAGTTTATAGCTTGATAAAGCCGGTGAAGAAGCTGAATGGCTTCGAAATTTCTTAGAAGACATTCCGTTCTGGCCAAAACCTTTGGCTCCTATTTTCATACATTGCGATAGTGAGGCTGCAATAGGACGGGCAAGGAGCGTTATGTATAACGGAAAGTCTCGTCATATACGACGAAGACATAACACCGTTAGACAACTACTTTCTAGTGGAATTATCACTATTGATTATGTAAGATCAAAGGATAATGTGGCGGATCCGCTTACAAAAGGCTTAACTAGAGAGGGAGTTGAGAAATCATCTAAGGGAATGGGACTATGGCCGAGGACAAGTCAACATGGCGGTAACTCTACCTAGAATTTTGGATGTTCCGAGATCTAGGTTCAAGGAGCTCAAACAAAGTTGTGATTGACCGGTTCAACATTGTCAAAGTAAAATCTTTGGTCCCTTCTCGTGATGAAGACAATGTTCAGTAACAAGGATAGAACTTTACACGTTCTTTAATGATTACCTAAGTTTGATGTGGTATTTATCAAATAGTGTCAATCTAAAGGATTACACGTTTAGGAATCACCTATGTAAGTGTGAAGTGGAAGCTGCTTCAATGAGAATTTTGTAAGGCCAATTCTCTACACACTTATGAAACCAGGCGGTGTTCATGGCTGAAACGAACACAACAATGAGAACCAAAAGACGGTTAAGGGTTGGTTGTGTGACATATGGTTATCTAGGTATACACTAAAGTTCGACGGTTCAAAGATATCAAATCCACCGATTGACCGAGTATATCCGACATATGTTCACTACGGAAAGTTTAAAGGGAAACCTACTTATCCAGATGCGATTAATCCTTACTTGCAAATCACACAGCTTTCATCTATGATCATTCTTGTTACAGCCATTCCCATTCATGTGGGGGATTGTTGGACTTTAAAGGCATTGGGCTTCAAAGACTTTAAGCATTGGGCTTTAAAGTCTAAGAGTGTGAATTGGAAATGGTGGGAAATAAAATGGAGGGAAATGAAAATTTGAATAAAGTGAGCTTTTGACTTGCACTTTGTCCCTCATTGGTGAGGGACAACTACATTTGTGTGCTTATATATAGAATCACTTCTTAAAGCTCTTAAAAGGAGTTGAAGAGAATGAACCCTCGCACCGTCGTCGTCGCTCGCTCGGCTTTGGATTTGGATTTGGATTTGTCAAATGATCGATCGATAAGATTATTTTTGGACAAAATTTATTTAATAATTAACTAAATGTCAGACCACTGCTGAAGATTCAGAAGGATAGTCTGGCCTAGGACCGCGCCAGAACACTGCTGCAGATTCAGAAGGCTAACCGCGGCAGGACGCGTAAACTTCTGAACAGACACCTTTTCCAGAACAAACATCACACCTCTTCCAATAATTGCCTATAAATTCTGAGGCATGGCTTCGTTTTTAAAACACCAAAAACATTACAGAACTTCCTTCTTTCTGAAAATACTACATTCTTATTCGCAGTCTCTCTCTCTCAAATTCGTAAGTGTGATTTTGCTCTGTTCTTTGAGTTCGTTGGTATCCTGCAGTTTGTATTGCCACTGTTGCAGGAAGGTTTATTTCGTTTCATTCTGGGATGATTTAATCCATTACCTTGGCAACTTGTGAGGGGGTTAAAATTCCTTAAGGACGCACAAGCAAATTGTGGACTCGGAATATTTCTTATTCTTTACTGTTTTCCAGTTTCTTTTATTCTTCTAACAGTTTTCTGATTTTATGTTTTTACACAGTAGCGTTTTACAACCATAACCTTTGGTGCGCCTTGTGGCCCTATCTGTTACAACCTTAGCACCCCTCACAGAAGGATAGTTAACCCTAAATGTCTGCTGAAGCATGTAATCAGTGACATCAGCTGCCAAGTCACCAACAAATATTGTATATTCAGGAGCATTATCGGAACGCTTTTCACCGGAGCCAAGAGATGCCCAGTTAAGTCTAAAATTTTGCTCAATATTAGGCATCAAAGTCCCATTATATGCTAGCAGATTCCTCTCTACGGCAGCATGACTATTAAACTCAATAAAGCCATAACCCTTTGACTGTCCAGTTTGCTTGTTACGGATAACTTTAGCATTGACCACCTACGTAAGAGACAAGCAGTTAATATTCTCTAAAAAAAACCTAAAAAGTGAACGGGAAAGAAGACTGTTAATAGTAACACTACTGCTCATACAGTATAACAGGCAAGAAAAAAATAAATAGAGAGGGGAAAAGAGCGCATGTTTTTATTTTGTCTACTCATACAAGCATGCATCTAAATTCAACCATCACACAATCGGTAAGCATAAACAAATTGCACATGGATTTACTTTTTGATAAGGTTGTTTATGGAATGCACATGGATTAACTTTTTCTGATAAGGTTGTGTAGCACATGGATTTACTTTTATAATAAGGTTATTTATGGATTATTAGGACCCTTCTTACAATATGTCAGATGCAGTGAAAACGCATTCACCTTAATCTTTAAAAGAGTCAATACCCATAGTCAACAGAGGCAAGGCAGGTATCAGCAGGTATAACCACCAATTATAAGGTCACAAATTACTGTCGCGCCCCCTTTTTCCTCGCGGAGTCCAGGTTTCGACATTCATAGGGAACAACTAATTTCCTTTTGGGATTTGGGTATGGAATTTGAAGAGTCGCCACCTAACGGATTTAAGGTGTGTTAGGGCACCTAAAGCAAATAACACATAAAACTGGTTTGCATTACCAGAGATCGGGTAAGGGCTCGAAATAACCTTGAGGGGAAGGCGTTAGGCACCCCTCGCGGTCCACAACAGTGGGTCCCGGCCGAACTCAAATTATGTGAATTAGTCTTATAAACAGATAAACCAAATCAGACAAATTGATATTATATTTAAAACAAGGAGTAAAGTGGGGTCCTAGGTTTTTTAGCCTACACGATCACTTCTGTACAATACTTGGTAATCGTCCCCAAGTTGGGGTGCTACACATAGCATTAGTGCACAGGTCATCATATCCTTTACTACCCGATTTTCCTCCCCTTAGTGGTTATATAAGCGATTCTAATTGAACGTACTCTATGCGTGCATTACCCGTCCTTTCCTTATGGCCCTGGAGGTGTTTAGGACCTCTAATTAAGGCAGTTCTAGACTCTCCTAAAGTGCTAAAAAGGAGAAAATCTAAGCGACAAGCAAGAACAAATAGGACATTCACATAAAGGGGCAATTAAAGGCTCACTTTTACCTTCTCACACAAGCAGACAATAGCACGTCTCAAACAGCAAGATTTCAGATATTTCAAAGGATCCTAGAGCAGGATATCTAGATGAGCATGACAAATAGAATATATGCAGCATTGTGTTAAAGCGAGGCAATAGAGACCTAATCAGTTTGCCTACTGATTTTAGGGCTTACTGAATCTAGACAATTCACAAATAACAAAAGCATAGTTTTACAGTTTGCAGGATTTTAGTCGCCCTACAGGCTTGCCTAGGCGTGTATTAGTGATGTCCTATGAACATAGTATCTAGTCATTAATCAGAAGTGCAATAAACTAGTAAACAATTTTAAGCAGGCAGTTTGGTTCATTAGGCCCTATAGGCATGCTATCTAGGTGTAGAAATTGATTTTAAACTTATAGACGTGGTAGCTAAATGCAGAAATTAGTTTTTAGAATCCTATAGACATGGTATCTAAATGCAGCAATTACTTTTAAAATCCTACAGACATGGTATCTAAATGCAGCAATTAGTTTTAAAATCCTACAGATATGGTATTTAAACGCAGCGATTAGTTTTAAAATCCTACAGACATGGTATCTAAATGCAGCAATTAGTTTTAAAATCCTACAGACATGGTATCTAAATGCAGCAATTAGTTTTAAAACCTTATTTGCTGTTGATACCCAATTTTTCCCTATATATTTTTAAATATGCAAAATAGCATATATATGCACATATAAGCACGCACAAGGTTTTTTATAATTTTTTCCATAATTTTGAGAGTTTAAATTGATTTATTTTCTCCCCTTTTATTCATAAAATCCCCAATAATTATTTCCAAAACTATTGTTATGATGATTTTGTTCATTTGATTTCTATACTTCTACCAAAATGTAATTAATATAATTTTATGCATTTTTGATAATCACAATTGGTATTTTTCGAGCTAAATTGCAATGTTAGCCATTTTAATGTATAATTATATTTTATATACGTAAAATTGGTCCATATATTTTTAAATGTTAATTATATATTTTAAATCATTTTGGTATAGAAAGATTATTTTCAAAAACTATTTTATTATTTATTAAATTAAAATAGGGAAAATTGGCTATTTAAATCATAGCCAAATTTGGCTTTCAATTTTAGCCTAGTTGAACCCACTCCTAGCCCAATTTCCTACCCAATTAATCCGACCCAGACCCTATAAACTCCTACCCAAACCCGGAACCCATCTACCCGGCCTAATCCTGACCGTTGATCTGGTCAACGGTCCAAACGAGCCCTTTCCTTTTTTAATCCTATAGACCACTAACCCTATCTCATTTCTTAGACTCCGCCGCCCTCAAACTCTCTCATATCCTCTCTTCTCTCAACCTAACCCTAATCCCCTTCAATCGCCGCCTTCTTCTCCGGCCATCTCCGACAACCACCTTTCAACCCCAAGCCTCCATGGTTTCTCCATCGCCTTGCTCATCATCTCTGAGGCCTTCAAGGGCCCTGGGCCATGCCAATATGGATCTAGGATTTCTGTTTCTGTGTTCATGGCTTCTCCGATGTGATTTTGGATAAAATCACACCATATTTGTTACGATCTTTGAAGTTTATAGCAGGTTCTTCCATTTCTATCTGGGTTTCCTTTAAAACCCTAACTTTGTTTGAACCTCTTAGATCTGGGCTATTTTTAACGATTTAAGTCTGTTCCTTTCTATGTTTTACACTATTCTCAAACTTCTTTTGAAAATCATCAACTTTAAGCCGTTTTTACTTTCTTTAAAGTTAGGGTTTCTCCGAGTTCTTCTGCACTCATTCAAACTGATTTTTCTTTATGTTTAAACCTTTACCTTGCATATCTTGACTGATCCTATGTTCTTACTGCTTTTTCAACTCGCCTCTGTTAAAAGCCCTAATTTTTTTTAGATCTTCTTTGTCTTGGTTCTGTGTGTTAACTTGACTACTTGATTCTTGTTAAGCTTTCGTGGTTACCATGCTTCGAATGTGTTTTACCGAGTCCCTAGCCTACTTATATCACTTCTGTGTGATTATGTTCATCTTGTTTGTTCATCTCTTGCCTCTTTCTGTCGATATTGCTGACCTTGCATGTTTGCTACGTCTGTTTGATCTTCTCTATTTATATGTTGAAGTACAGAATCATGACTCCCTCTTGATTGATTCTAATTTCCTTAGTTGATGGTTTAATTGAAAGATTTTCTTTTAAAACCCTAAAATTCTACTCGTTTGTTTAAATTGACTGGTTCCATTACCTTATTTCCTGTAGTACTTTATTTTTACTGAATCATTTCTTAATTGGAGTTTTCTGAACTTAGTCCTAATTGACTACTCTATGCTTACTGAACTTTGATTCTTTCCTTATTAATCATGTACTGATCCTTTTTGCCTTATATACTGGTTCTTACGTTTGAATTAAGTCCCTTAACTTAAGGGAGTGCTTCCTCGATTTTCTAATTGATTGATTCTGAGTTCCTCAATTATTAGGCTACTATGATTCTTTCCTTATTTTACTCCCTATTTTCAACTATAAATACTCTAGTATTTCACTAACACAGACACGAACACTTGGGTTCAAAAACTATCTCTCATACTTTAAAAAATCACTGCTCTCTCTCTTGTGCTATTTGATATTGCTAGCCGGCTGCAAGCCAAGGCTAACCATTTGTGCTCTCCTGTTCTTTTCATTCTGCTTACTCTGCTCTTCACTGGTATGTCCTAGTTTCAATTTAAAGTTCCAACAACAACATGATTCTCTTATTGTTTTAGTTCTTCTTGTTTCTGGTTTGCTTCTATTTGTGGTTCTGTTGTGAAACTTGTAGTTAAGAACACATTACTAGCATGTTATCATGTCTTCCCCCTTCCCTTTAGATTAGTATATTCCCTTTATGTGTGTTTCTGAGCAGGTCCTACCAGTTGTCTCTTACTTGTTGTATATTTACCATACTATATCCCATGGATCCCAAATCCCTATCACCCCTCTATGTGGAAGTGTTCTTCATGCCTAGTTTTGTGACTATGCTAGTGTCAGCTGTTTCTGAGCATGTTTGAACCAGTCCTAGACCTTGATGGGTTCTGTGTTTGCAACCAATTGTTCTATGTGTCCCAAACCCCTTGACCCCTGTGTGTGACTCTTGAATTTACTTGGTTCTGTAAACTAACTGTGTTTGGACTCTGTTAACTATTCCAATCTCTTCTTTTTTTAAAATAATCTCTACTGAATTGCTTTCAAGAAAGGCTTTTGTTAATCACAGTTTCTTACTAAAACCTTTTCAACTTGTGTCCATCACTTCTCACTCTACTCCTAGTCAATAAGTTTTGCCCCCTCTAGTATGTTTACTGCCTTGGGATCCTTTGAGAACCCTCTGAACTCTGGCATACTAAGGCTGGCCTTTCCACACTGCACTTGTTCAATTCTTGGTTGCTATGTCTAGGTGTAAGCACTGCCCAGGATCCTTGAGATCCTTAGGGAACTTTGATGCACCTAGACTATGATTTTGTCTATGGAACTGAGGCATATGAGACCATTGGAGGCATTGGGAAACCTGGGCCTTATTGAAGGCTCCCTATAGAATAGCTTCTTGATTTTCTGTTTTCATTTATGTAATTCATTCATTGGTCTGTAATAATTTGTAAACAGATATTAGGGTATTTATTAAAAAGGGTGGATAGATACATATTTTCTGGGGTAATACGGGTAGAAATCCTGCTCTTAGGACTTTACTTTTTCAAGTCTGTTTGTTCTAAATAGAAAACATGCTCTTAGGACTTTACTCTTTGAATCCGATTGCTTTGCCAAATAGAAATCATGTCCATAGGACTTCACCTTTAAATTTGTTTACTCGTCAAGTAGAAACCATGTCTATAAGGTTTTACATTCTGTCATGTTTCAGAAACCATGCATATAGGTTCCAAGAAATCATGTCTTAAAATCAGTTTAATAATAGATACCATGCCTATAGGACTTAATTCAGATATAGTTATAAGGAGTGTTTACGTATGTTGCCACATTAGCAAATCGACTAAAATCAGTAATACACCTAGATATCATGCCTATAGGGAATTCTACTCGCAATTCTGTCTGATTTAGTCTAATAAGTCACTTG